AACAATAAAAAAATAAATAAATTACTTAGAAGTTTCCTTTAAAGTTTTACAGTTTCTCTCAACCTAAAAAACCATCCGATAAAAGTTGTGACTGACAATGAGCTGGATCAGAAAATCTATCACGAGGCAAAGGCATGATTGATAGTTTAACAGGTATCTTTAAAGTAAACATATTGTATTCCATGTTTTCTCTACAGAGTCAACACGAGAGAGTATAGTATCGTGTTTCGAACTAATCCTATGACAAATAAATAAGGATAAACTACTAGACCTGCAACTTATATGTTGTCCAATGGGAAGGCCCAAAACTGAAGTAGAACTTGGGAGTGTAAATGTAAACTTCGCCACATTATGGCTCAGCTGCGCACGCTTGATAAGCTTAAACTCCTTGAAATTCTCTGGATCCAAGCAACCTGAATGCACGAACCATATTGTATGGAAAAAAAAAACGTAAGAATACGAATCGAAGAAAACACCAACAACAGACGATGTTCTAATGTATCATCACAATGAAACCTTCCATATGCACAAGAATCCACTGAAAATGTTGAGTGAAAAATCCATTTGTCCACATAGTGCTGCATTAGTACGTCATATTATCAAAGGGAGTAGGAACTCGCATGGTTATGGAAGTGCTCCCTGAAATTTCCTTAACTAGTACCAATTAAAACACACCATACGCTTAATTTGAACTGAAATGTCCATTACAGAGTAACTATAGTAACATTCAGACTCCAGACGTCCACATATCCACAAAGTAACAAGAACTTCAAACTGCACTCTCAAAATTTCATCAAAATGGCACGAATCAAAACACAATAGATCCTAGAAACTGCTTACAGCATTCAGGTAAAGTAGATTTCAACCGCAAATCATGAATCCAAAACACTCAACAAGGAAATCCGAACACTAGAAACTAAAAAATTATAAATAAATAAACTGAGATTCAAGAGCAGCTAACCTCCGGATTTGGTTTTCTTGGACGAGGATAACAAATAGAGAGCACCAAAGGCAAGAGCTAAAACGGCCACAGCCAAACCCAGAAGGATTTGAGGATCTAAAGACTGTAATAAGTCCATTACACGATTCTTCACAGACAAAAACCTTGAGAAAAATCAAATGGAGTTGTGATTCACCGAAATTTTTCCGTTCCACAGCTCCAGAGCCCACTTTCACCGAATGCAGCAGCAGCCACCGGATAAAAATGAAACGCACGGGGTAGGTGGAGATTGATGAAGGTATTTGGAGTCTTTTTAAGTATGAATATAAAATTCATGTTTATTATATTATACTTTTATTATTAAATTTACTACGATTTTTTTTATTAAAAAAATTATATTATAAAATAGAAATTTCATTAAAATAAATTAAAATAAATATTATATATAAATGAGAAATAATTATTCCCCTCACATGTGTGTATCATAGCAAGGGCGAGCGGTCTGAGATAAGTGTCTCGAACAATTTTTTTAAAATGGGGTTATTAAGGACAGTATCGAACGACACAGATGTACCAATATTGCACCTCTGACCCATGTGTCAGAGGATAGACTATGTAGTAAATGGTCTAGTATGGATACAGGAGAGTCCAATGTTCGATGAAAATCTAGATAGATAGATGTTCGAGATGTCTTAATGAAATAGTCGACACATGTGTGTATCATAGCGAGGGCGAGCGATCTGAAATAAGTGTCTCGAACAATTTTTTTTAAATGGGGTTATGAAGGACAGTATCGAACGACACAGGTGTGCCAGTATTGCGCCTCCGACCCATCTGTCAGAGGATAGACTATGCACCTGCTATTCCAAACGGATGTAGTAAATGGTCTGAAATAGACACGTGAGAGTCCAATTTCCGATGAAAATCCAGCTGGATATGGGAAGAGTAGGAATGGATAAGGCTTATATTTATGGTTTTAAATACAAAACATGTTTTTTTTTAAGAAAGTAAACCAATTTTTTTTTGGGGGGAGGTGAAGAAGCCTATGCAGGGGGAGTTAATCTCTGCAACGCAGCCCATGGTATTTCTATCAATACCATTTGCGGACTTTTAATTTAATTTTTAAATTTTAAATAATTTAAATTACAAATTTGATTTTAGAAAATCTATAATTTTATTAATGATCAAAATTAAAACAAATTTACAATTTCCCTGATATTAAATTATTAAATGTAATATATTTTTTTAAATGAATTTTATGCAAGCGTCTCACGTGAAACATGCCCATTTTATACCTCGTAATGTAAATTTACGATTATCTCCCTGTCTTGCTAAATGTCAAATGAAAAGATACTAAAAAAAATGAGTGAAAAGAAAATCGAACGTATGGTTTGAGTTTTTACATGAATTTGATCGATCATATCTCCCTCGTTTCTCCATGAAACTTATCTCATTGTGCTCGTTGACTGTGATCTACACGTTTGGTGAATGGAGCAACTTGATTCGAGCGATTGAACATCCAAAACATAGGGAGCGGAATGACGTTGTTGAGCTAAAGTTATACTTGAAAAGAAAGAGAAAAGTAGAAGCGTCACCAATTACGTCAGTGATGACATCACTAGTGACGTGTCACATTAATAATGACATCCTGTTGACCCTATAGTGAACGATCAATTTCTTTGATCTATCCACGTTTTTATGGTTTTTAAGCCTGTTCATCGAGATGCCTTCCCTGTTTTATTCTTTTGACTTGATTTAGGACATATTTGAGAAATTTTGAGAGATTTAAAAAGTTTTAAGGACCCAAACCGACCCCAAAAAATTAATCGACCATGTTAGTAACCATTTAGATTTTTCGGCAAGAACTGCAGGATGGAATCGACTATGACTCTGAGTATATGGACTGTTAGCACTATTTTTTAATGAATTGAGCATGGAAATGGATAGCTAAGTCATAAATTATAGAATTTGATCAGTTTGCACGTTTTAGAATTTCCGCTAGGCAAAATTCAACTATGATTTGTTAAATGTTTCATTAGGACTATGGCACGTTATGATTTATCGTACCTTACTCGATATGCATGTATATTATGCGAATATGTATGATTTGTGACTAAATGTCATTTATGCCCCTAGAGTTATGTGCCCTAGAAAATACATATATGACTTCGTGTAACCACTCGAAAAAAAAAAAAAAAACTCTTCAACGTTACGTAAATTCATGATGAAGGAAGGATCATTATTGGAAGAGGCGAAAGTCGTGTCCCAAATCTCTCTTTTTACATCAATTCTTTCCAATTTTGTTACTATTCTCTCAATTTAGCATTAGAAAAACTTACCAAATTGATCGATGTGTTCTCGAAAACTCCGTCCCAAATCCATCATTAAAAGAGGTCAAGAATCAATCAAAAGTTGCAAAAAGTCGTCTGCATACATAAGTAAAAGGAAGAAAATTGAAATTAGGTTAGAATTAGTCTCGAATCTAGGCCTTAGGCTTAGAACCGAAGCTAATTCCGAACTTTGGCCTCCATAGGCATATTACCCAAACCTATTGCAGCTTCGGGCGTTCAATCTAGAAATAGAACACGTCCTAGAACGACTCAGGCATTATACCCCACTCTAGATCCAACCCTGCCCTCACCTCGACCTAGAAATATATGGCTAGCCTGACCTGCACATAGACTACTATCCAACACCCCTTGCCCCATTGCTTACGGCTTGTCATCAGCTCAGCTCATACTAAAACCTTAGACCATTTCTTATCAATTTCAATTATTTCAAAGCCATTTTTTTTTAGTAATGTCCCGATGTCATGGGACTCAGGTGGAGTTGAACTTCAAAGAGTAGAGCTAGGTTAGCACCAAGAGTATTTAGTGACGTCGACTTAGGGCAATCATGTAAGTGAACTTACTATTGGTACACCTTCGACTTGGTTGGATGACTTGAGTGATGTATGAATGATACATACCTTGTGCCAATTGACGTGTCATTTTTCTTTTTTTATGATATGTTATGTTATGATTATGTGATGTTACTATGATTATGTCATGTATGTTATGCCTATGAGACGTTGTTGAGCCTTGTGTGATAATAATGAAAGTAAAGTCATGTATATGTATGTACATCTCATAGCCTCGTGCACGTTGTATATCACAAGCATGTAATACTTTTTCAGTATTTTTTTGTATGAACACGTACCTCATTTCCTTCCATTGGTTTTCGATAACGTGAACGTGCTCTAGCTCGTAGTTAGGCCTAAGGGGTACGAATACGAGCCTACTAGTGGGTTCATGATGCGTGCGTGAACAAGGTGTAGAAAAGTACTACAGACTTAAAATCTTGCCCGGAAGAAAAAGTAGAGCCTAAGGAATAATCATGTAAAGATAGGTTCGTTTTAAGATAGGACAATTACATTTCTTTTAAACTTTGACAAGACGGGTTATTTTTCTTGTTTTCAATTATACTAATGCTATCTTAAGATTTGCATAGATTTTGTGAACGTTTTAGTCCATGGTTTTATCTTTCCTTCAGCCAATTTTAGGGTATGTTATGATAACATGGGTCGATTAGGTCTAGTAGAGACGGTTAGCGTGCAATCCCTAATTGTGAACTTAGCATATAGGAATGCAACGTTACCCACCTAATAAACATGTTAAGTAAATACAAATTAATTGATTATTTTGGGTTAATAATATGTTGTACAAATTGTGACATAAAAAAATACAAATTAATATATGTTGTATGGTTGAAAATTTACTATTATTTATTTTGATTTAAGATCGAAGTTATATTAAATATTATAAATTCTTTATAATAGTTTCATAGTTTTATTAGAAGGCATGCTATATTTTATTATATAATAATTATAAAATTTTATTTCAACTAAAAAACATAACAACATTTATTAAATACATTACTTTTTCTTTTTTTTAAAAAAAAATAAAAATACTTATCAAATATATTCTAAATCAGGGGATAAAATTTATATAAAATTTGGTTTTTTCCTAATTAAACATAAAATAATTATTGCGAAAAAGAACAAGTAAAAAAAAAAGAAAAAAGAAAAAAAAAAAGCAGCGCAGCCAGTTGGGCAGTGGGGAGTTGTGCGAGGCAGTGTCAGAGGAGACAACAATGGCGAACCCTAGGAGGGCTTCCATTTCATTATCTTCTTCAAGCAATCCCCAAAGCTTGGAGAGTCCATTTCACAGTCAATCCCAAGGCCAAACCCTTTCGCTATCCTTTGAATCGTTATCGTTTCTGAAGAACTTTCTGAAGAACTTTCTGAAGAACTTTCTGAAGAAGCCTCACGCCTTCCCTTTCCTGCTCTCTGTTTTCCTCTTACTCACATGGATTTCTCTCAGAATCCAGCACTCTTCTTCTCGCTTCTCATTCCCCGATTTCTCTCGCTTTCAACATACTCCTGATACATGGAGCAAGGACGATGATTTCAAGGCTAACCTCGTTCGTTTCAAGCCTAGATTTCCTTCTCGGATTGCTAAAGACAACAGGGGATGGCTACTCGATCCTATTTCTCTTGCGCTCGATTCTGGCGTTCTTGGTACTCCAATCGCCTTTGTTTTTGGTTTGAATTCATTTATATTCCGTCTAGTTTGCGCTGAATTCTGCTTTTGGATGTCTACTTAGCGTATAAGTTACGGGAGTTTTGATTTGTATGTGTCTGTTGATTTCGCGTTGCATTTGGAACTTTATTGAGCCTCAAATTCTGTCTCAGTTGAGCTTGAAACTGTCTGAAATTTTATCAATTGCGACTGGAATAGAAACCCAATTGTTTACTAAGCCTGCAAATGATCCAACGTTTGTGATTTCTGAGGGAAAATATGAGATTCTACGTCGGTTGGAGAGGGGAATGAAACATTCCTTATAAGAGTGTGGAAACCTTTCCCTAATAGACACGTTTTAGAACCTTGAGTGGAACCCCACGAGGAAAAGTCCAAAGAGGACAATATTTGCTAGCGGTAGGCTTGGGCAGTGAGCCAGCGAGGACGCTGGGCTCCCAAAGGGAGTGGATTGTGAGATCTCACATCGGCTGGAGAGGGGAATGAAACATTCCTTATAAGGGGGTGGAAACCTTTCCCTAACAACACGTTTTAAAACTTTGAGTGGAACCCCACGAGAGAAAGCCCAAAAAGGACAATATTTGCTAGCGGTAGGCTTGGGGGATGTGCCAGCGAGGACGCTGGGCTCCCAAAGGGAGTGGATTGTGAGATCCCCTCATCGGTTGGAGGGGGGAGTGAAACATTCCTCATAAGGGTGTGGAAAACTTTCCCTAACAAACGTGTTTTAAAACCTTGAGTAGAACCCCACGAGGGAAAGCCCAAAAAGGACAATATTTGCTAGCGGTAGGCTTGGGCGGTGTACCAACAAGGACGCTCGGCTCCCAAGGGGAGTGGATTGTGAGATCCCACATCGGTTGGAAGGGGAATGAAACATTTCTTATGAGGATGTGGAAACCTCTCCCTAACAAACGCGTCTTAAAACCTTGAGGGAAAGCCTATATTAGGATAATATTTGCTAGTGGTGGGCTTAAGCTGTTACGGAAGACCGGTTAATTTCAGTGATCATCAGGTTATTCTTACAGGTGGAGCAGTGACCTGTGCTTCTGTTCATATTGGAGAAATTAAACCTGGAGCTATGAGGGGAAACCACAGGCACCATACTTGTAATGAAACATTTGTCCTGTGGGGTGCTAGAACAATATTCAGAGTAAGCTAAAAGCGTTGGAAATCATTTGTTAATTCTATCTGTTTTATATCATGGATTAGCTCGAAGTTGGGAACTGTTTCCTTGAATGAAAAATCAAAAACTTTAATATTAAATATGTTGCTAATTTGGATTGTGTGTCACTTGATGCAGTTGGAGAACAGCGAGGTAGGTGATAAGGGATATGCTGAAGTGATAATTGGTGCGGATGAGGTTGCTGTTGCAGCAAGTCCAAGAGGAACAGCCCATGCATTGATAAACATGGATCCTGCACGGTCTACATGGTTTCTGGGTTGTCAAGATGGTATTATAAACTACAACACTTCAACTTCTGATTTTAAGGTCTGGAAAGATCTTTAGTTTGCAACACTCTCTCTTAACTTGGGCCCTATTTAGTTCTTGACAGGAAGTCCCTTTTATTTCACTTCTCCTGTGGGAATTTTTGCTAGGTGGTGGGGGATAGCATTGTAGTTTCAAATCTAGGGAATTTGTGAGCTGATTGTCATGAGATGAGATAAACTTTTACATCTTTGTATACAGGATAGCTTTTATAGTATTAAGTACAGTACACTAAAGCACAATGGTCCTCTCGATCATACAAGATCATACAAGTTAACCACAAAATTACATTACAAATACTTAAAAGGTCAACTCATTATCACAAAATAGGATTACTGCATCTCCATTTTCTCCCATCATTAGCCTTATAGCCCTCCTTATTTTCCTCTTCCAGTATCATTTTCATGTGGCTCCACTAGTATTGGAGGGAGGGAGGGAGGGAGAGAGCTTGAGTGTGAATGTCAAATGAAGAAGGTGAACTAGCAGTGTCTTGTCTTGTCTGAGTTATAAATCTATTTTGTTGTGAGATCCAACATCGATTGAAGAGAGGAACAAGTGTCAGCGAGGATGTTGGTCTCGAAGGGGATAAAATGTGAGATCTTGGACAGTGTGCCAACGGACGCTGGGCTCCGAAAGAGGTGGATTGTGAGATCCCACATTGGTTGGGGAGGAGAACAAAGTATTTTTTATAAAGGTGTAGAAATCTCTCCCTAATAGACGTGTTGTTTGGTAGAGATGAGTTTGGACTGTTACATTTGTTTTTTTTGTCTGTGACCCTAATTTGTTATATTTCAAACATTGTCCTTGAGCACGCTCTCATAGCAAGGTGCGAGGTGCCTTACCTGAGCGTAGGTCCACGCCTTTTGTGGTTTTTTTTAATAACAAATTCTATATGTGTTTCAGTTGTAAACTTGAGAGATCTTATACAACTATTCCAATTCCGAAATCAAGGATTCAGGTAGGAAACTCTATCTTCTTTGATTTGCTCTTTTTCTGATAGAAACATCTTCATTCATTCATTTTGAATTGCTGTAAAGAAGAGCTTTAGGTTCTTGTGCCTGTGCCATTTCATATTCATGTTGGTAACAACTTAATGTAGCTCTCATTCTTATCGTACTCGAAATTGCTCGTATTTGCATACTTTTACTCTGAACGATCTTAGTAGAAGCTGTTCATTTCCATTGTGTTTCTCTAGGGATATCAAAATTGGCATCATGTGAGACTTTGGTGGTGGGATTTATGGTTGTAGCAGTAATTTGGCATAAAATTCCGTGGAGAAACATTGGTCTTTTTGTGGAAGTTTTAAGACAATAAGAAAGAATTAGGCTAAGAATCACATAAGGGGCTCGATTTGACGTCTTACTTCATAAACTCCTAATCGAACTTAAAGACAAAGTAGATCGTAAGTTTTAACACCAAATGTCATTCACTAATCATCGAAATTTCAAAACATGACCTAATATCATGGTTTATGAATGGATGTATAATTTGAAGTTCACGGGAGCATGTTTAGACTATAAACCATCGATAGAGGTGAAATGACATAAACGCCCCTATTATGTAAAAGTTTATATAGTGTATATTTAAATTTTCAGTTTTTGTTTTTATTGTTATTTATTTTTTAAATTTATTTTCAACTGTGAAGAAATTCTAAATTGATAATTCTAATTATAATTGTTTAAAGAAGAGATCATAGAATATCCTAATACAAACAATATTATTTTAATATAATTTCTATAAATCCAAAATTTAAAATAAATAAATAATCGAGGTAAGATGGAGTCGAGATGGGAATGCGATCCGGTTTGCATTCCTATTTAGCAAATGACGAGAAATTTTCTTACTCCGTTTCTTATTTTTCATTTAAATAGGCATTTTTTACTTTGTAGGGTCAACCCTATGAGTCAAATGAACGTCTCTCATTTAAGGTCAGAGTCAAATTTGATAAAATCGAAAGCTTAAGTTATATTAGTAAAAAAAAAAACCTTTACCATTAAGTTTTCGATAGAAATCATTAATTTCATTGAAATAATACAACTAACCTTTTAAACAGTTTTAACATACGCGTTTGCTAGAGGAAAAGCCTTGAGGGAAAACTCGTAAGAAAAAGCCCAAAGAGGACAATATCTGTTAGCGGTGTGTATGGGGCGTTACAAATGGTATCAGAGCCAGACATCGGACGATGTATCATCAGCCTTCTCGCAGTTCCCCGAAAGGGGTAGGCATGAGGTAATGTGCCAATAAGGATGCTAGCTCCAAAGGAGAGTGGATTTGGTGGAGTCCCACATCGAGAAAGGAACGAATATTCCTTTTTCTTTCTCTCTACAAATCCTTCGTTCACGAACAAATTAAATTTTATAGCAATGATTCTCCCTCTTACCTAAGAATTAAAGTTCATTAACACTCATTTAAAGTTCATTTGTAATTTTATACTTGCGGGTTTTTTGTGAGCGGTCGTTAATGTAGCTTTAAACCTAAAAAAATCTAAAATTCGCTACAACCAATAAAATAACTTTAAACTAGCATGTAATTAAACAACAAAAACTAGAGAAATTTGGTCGTTTTCTATCCAAAACTTAACGGTAAAAATATTTTTTCTAATACTTTTTAGACATCAAAAGTATTTTCAAAATTTTTTTAAGTTTATGAATATTATTGAAACGAGATTTCATTTGTTTTAAATGATAAAAGTATTTTTTTTTCTTAATGTTTTTTAAATATAAAAAATATTTATAAAACTTTTTAATTTCTAAATATTATGATATGAACAGCGTATGATATTATCAATAGTTTATATGATTTTGCTTTTGGTTGGAAATGAAAATAATATCTTTTATTATTAAAACAAATCATATTTAAATGATATTTTTAATAATTTAATTATATATATATATATATATAGAGAGAGAGAGAGAGAGAGGCAGTTGCTTTACATACTCCTCTTGTCTTTCTTTCCTCTCTTCTCTCTCCATTGCTGTAATCTTCATCACTCAAGAATTTTCATTTTCCAACCATTACGTAGAAGGAGACTTTGAATCGATGAAGAGGCAGAATAGTCAGTTATCGTCCACTTCCCGCCGGGATCCTCCGCCTGAAAGTCTTCGAGCTAAGAGTATCGGTTGCATGTCCGGCATTATTCATCTTCTCTCCAAGTACCAGAATCGCCACAAGAAATCCCTCACATTTGGTTCGTCTATTACTAATTTTTTTTCAATTAATTTTTTCCACTACTTTCTTCCGGCATTAAATTGATCGAGGAATTTGTGTATTTAGTTTGATTTTCTTGATGTTCTTAGGAAAGAGTAAGCAGGAGAAGGATATTATTGTGTTTTCCTCTTCTTCTTCTTCGGATCAATGTCTAGCCTCCGCTGCCGGTATATCTCCGTCTACTCCAAAGCCGCAGGGACATTTTAGGTCGCGAAGTAATAAAGAAGGAAAGCGAACGGAGGTTGTTGATTTCAGTCGGAGAAGAATCTCCTGCGATCTGCCAACGAGGAGTCCGACTCTTTCAGCGGAGATACGTCGTTCAAGCTCCATAAACTCTCCGTCGAAGATCCAAAAATCTCCGGCGCTGGTAGCGCGGTTGATGGGACTGGAAGCGGTGCCGGCGACGCCAGTTGAAGAACCGTCTAACGAGAAGAGGAGGAAGCTGTTGGGAGCGTTAGAGAAATGTGATAACGACTTGAAGGCTCTCAAGGATATTATCATGGCGTTTCGGTCACCGGAGAGTGATCAACCGGCAACGGCGGTTGCAGGAAATTGTCTGAATCGAGACAAAGTAAAAACAATTTCTGAACGGAAGTGTAGGGACTGTAACTGTGGCGATATAGAGAAGCAGCAGCAGCATCCCAGTGCAGCGTCCGTGTTTAACGAGTCCAGTCGCTCGCATCTGAACAGAATCAACCGTACAGGCAGAGGGCGTGAAAATGGTACGTCGCTGTTCTTAGCCTTCAATTTGGTTACAAATAACTGCTAATTTTGGGCTTTTTTTTCCTATTTTCTTTCTTTTATCATGAAATTTCAGATTAACACTAAAACTTAATTGAATTTATTTGTCTGCCTAAAATATTAATTCTGATCTAGTTGAATATTAAATGCTGTACCTCTAAATTTCCGTTCATAATTAATCTTATAAAATTCTTAATCTAGTCTTAAAGGTGTCAATTAAGACATTTGGTAAGATTCTGTTAAAAATTGTTAATAATTCAATAATATATTTCAAACAAACTTTAATAACTTTAGTATGGAATAATCTAGGTATAAATTTAGATAAAGTAAAGATCAAAAGTTCAAACTATTCATATATTCAACTAAAAAAAATTAACACACAAATTAAGATTTAAAAAGACTGAATTATTTAGTATATTTAGTTATGTATAGTGACATAACAACTTGTTTAGAACCCCCAAAAGATATAATATGGAAGAAAACAAAAATTAATTTCTTTTGGAGTTCATATTACAAACTAAGAATTTAATAGTTCAAGACTTGTGGGTATATTGTGTACCTAAATTTGAGTGTTTTTTTTAGTTCATCTGATTGTTTTTTTTCTAAATTTGAGTGTTGAAGATATATCATAATTAGTTGTCTTTTTCTTTATTAATGTGTAAATCCAAATACGGTTACACCGACAATATAATAGAAAAAAGAAAATGTAATGGAGAAAAAATAATAAAAGGAAGTTAAAGTAAAAAAAAATAGATAGGAATCTGATGTAGGCAAAGAAAAAGATGAAGCAGAACAGCTTTATTTCACCTCATAATTCACACGAATGCAGTTTTTCCCCCTTTAATTATTCTTGGAGTAATTTTGAAGAATCCAAATGCTTAACCAAATTCAATCTAATCGAATAAAACAGTAAATATGTTAGAAATTTTCGTTAGTAAGTCTAAAATTTTACAACTGAAGCCATTGATTTAAGGCAAATTAAGCAGGTGATTGTCCACTTTTTTGTTCTTGGCTCGATGAAAGGAAAGATGTTAATATCAAATGCTTGAAGTTGAGGGTTGTGGCTATAGCTATATTAGATTATTGGTAGTGTGGTAGGTTCAAGAATCCTAAATGAAGACAAGAACAGTGCCTTTTCAAGTAAAAGTAGAAGGCATAGCATGCCAAAATATAGGATTCCCAACATCAACCTTGATGGCATTTGTTAGGCTCAGTGCTTTTACTGCTGCTTAGGCATGAGGGGACACACTACATGCTTTTTAGTTGCTCGTAATTATTACATGTATGCTGCCTATGACCACTAAGACTATTACTCCTTTATGAATAACTCATCAAAATTTAGAGAGCCCGAGCTTCAAATTATAATTATAGGTATACCTTTTGATTATGATTCTCTACGAGTTGTTAATTCAAATTATTGGAGATTCTTGATTCAAATTATTATCTAAAGTTGTAAGGGTTAGTATTGAGTTAATTTGAGTCAAGAAACGGAAAGATTACTCTTAACTTTTTTAATGCCTCAAAAAATTAAAGATGTGAGATCTTACATTGATTGGGGAGGAGAAAGAAACATTTTTTTTATAAGGGTATGGAAATCTCTCATTAGTAGACGCGTTTTAAAAACCATGAGAAGAAGCCCAAAATGGAAAGTTTAAAGAGGACAATATCTGCTAGTGGTGGATTTGGATTGTTATAGATGGTATCAGAGCCAAACTCCGAACGATGTGTTAGCGAGGAGGCTGAGTTCTGAAAGGGAGTGGACAAGAGGCGATGTGCTAGCAGAGACGTTGGCCCCAAAGGAGGTGGATTGGGGAGTCCCACATCAATTGAAGAAAGAAATGAGTGATAGCGAGAATGTTGGACCTCAAAAGGGGTGGATCGAGATCCTAAATCAGTTGGGGAGGAGAATAAAACACCGTTTATATCGGTGTAGAGGTCTATAATAGACACGTTTTAAAAACTTTGAAGACAAGTAAAAAAATCTAATGAAGACAATATTTACCCTTAGGAGTAGACTTGATAAGATTTAAGTATAAGATTTAAGATAGATTTATGATTATATAGTGTATGGTATAATCATTTACTTGCGATTTGGGCCATGTTTATTTGGAGGAATTGAGAATAGAAGAATGTGAATTATTCTCCTCCATTCTCAATTCTCAAAGAATGATTTTCAATTTAGGAGTCCAAGATCAAATTATTTCCGGTGGTTGATTTCTCTAGAAAGTGTCAGTTTTATTACTTTATTTTGTTGGGTTCCACCATAATTTTCATCTTTCTCTTTTGACCTTTTTGTAGGCTTCAAATCATTTTAAATTGGATCATTAATCACAATCTTTTTCATTCTCATTTCACTTCAAAAGTGATTTTAGTGACAAATTTAGACATTTTCTTTCTCATTTGTTCCCTTTTAGTTAATTGATTTAGATAGAAATTAAAGTGGATGAAGTGGACCACTGTTCCACCCAAGTCCACAATGAGCAAATGGCTATGCTTTAGCAATGATTCAGTCAAGTCATTGTTCACAAAAGCTTAGGGAACATGCAGCCTTCCTTCCACTTTTTCAGAAATAAGGAAGAGACAGCTTAGAAACAAAGCAGCAGATGACTTTTTTTTTTTGCTCTTTCACTCAAGCAAAAAACCAGGCTTTTTCTAAAGCCATTGTTTCCCGCTTCTCTTCCACTCCCAACCACTGTCATCCCTACCCCCACCTCCGATCCATCACTATGTCTGTTATTATCATCAGTAATATCACTGCTGCACCATGAAGATTTACTGATTTTTTCTTACTTTTTTTGCTTTTCCTTTTTTTGATAATTTTTTTTTTATACTTCTATTTAGCGTGAGATTATGTTTGCATTCTCAGAACATATTTACCTTTATTGACGATATTTATATCATAAAATGTTTTTTTTTTCTGCCCTATGGTCTATTTGTTGTGGTCAATGACCATTTACTCATACTGATGGTGACTAAACACAGACACTGGTTACTTTTTCTTATAAGAAGTTTGGACTCTGACTTTCATTATTTTTGTTGTATTAGTTATCATCTTATGTAGTTTTAGTTTAAGGTCAAATATGTTAGATAAATTCTTTGATCATCATCATATATTTAGGTGTAAATACACATAAAATGATAAACTTAAAAGGCTTGTTTAGAAGATTGTTTTCAATTTAAAAGTACTTTTACCCAAAATATTCGTCTACTAGTGAGAGGTTTTCACACCTTAATATTTTGTTCCCCTCTCGACCTATTGTAAGATCCCACATTGATGGTAGAGAGGAATGAGAGCCAGCGAGGACGCTAGGCATCGAAGGAGATGGATTGTGAGATCCCACATTGATTCGGGAGGGAAAAGAAACATTTTTTTTATAAAGGTGTGAAAACTTCCCCTAGTTAGACATGCTTTAATAATCTTAAGGGAAAATAAAAAAAAGGGAAAGCCTAGAGAGAATAACATCTGCTAGCGATGGGTTTGAGAACAATATCTATTAGTGGTGAGCTTTCGAAACTAACTATACACATCTAGAAGCAGAGTTTTAGAAAGAGAAAAAACCAAAATAATTGCCAAATTGGAAAAGGAAAAGAAACTATAGCAAACGTTTATATTTTGTGTATAGGATCCTGCATGCATGTAGAACAGTAGTATTAACAAAAAAATAGTTGGAAATGCAGGACAACAAGAAACACAGCAACAGGCAAAGAAGAAGAACCCACCAGCAATTGAAGATGAGGACACAATCTCCATCTCCTCCTTGAACCCAATTTCCAAATTACAGGAACGGATCATAAAGTTGCAGCAGATCAGCAACAGCACACACTTAACAACGATGAAGAAGGAGAAGAAGGAACAGGAAGATCCGGCATTAACGTGGAGAAGCAAGGCCATGGCGGAGAGCTTGGACGAAATCTCCAACCAAATCTCATGGGGCTTCAAACACGAGATGGCCAAAATAGGTATGGTTTTACAACACCACATTTACAGAGAGCTGATTGATGAAATGCTCACTGATATGGTCACCAAATCTTCTGCTTGCTTTCTTCCCTTCCATTCTTCTCCTCTCCCTCCCTTTGAAGCATGTAGGAGAAGACTTCGTTTCTGATTGTTTTTTTTTTCTTTTGTGTTTAGTTTACACACAAATTAATTTAAATTTCGATACTTTTGTGTAGCCTTCCAAGAATTATGATGATCCGACTATAAATTTAGTTGGTTTATGGGTTAAATTAGGGTTGTATATGCAGGTATAACATGCATTTTGCTAGGTTTTTTATGTTCTATGGATGGACTTCTAACTCTTCATTCTCCGTTCGACAAAATTTACAATATATTTTCGATTGTGTAGGTATGTATACTAAAACTTTTCGCGGGAAGTTAGATGAAAATTTAAAAGTCATAAGTATTCTAAACCTTTAGTGTTCGAAAGAAAAATGGAAAAATATGATTATTAGAAGGTACGAAGATTTTAAGATCTATGTCCTACCATGTATCATAGCTGTCTCGTTGAATAATTTACTAGTATCAATGACAATTCTCTCACGAAAAATCAACAAAAACTTAGATTATCATTTCAAAAGTGTCGTGGAATGACAATAAATGATCTTGTCTATCAGGAATATTATGATAGTTGTGTTGGTAACGTTCCAACCTTCTAAAATTATATAACCATTTGGGCTCATTTCCATATGCATTTTAAAGTGAAAAAATGAAAAACATACCTGTTACAAATTTATAAATTTTTATAGAAATCAATCAAACTTTATACGGGTATTCTTAAACCAAAACAAAATAAAAACATCATTAACAACTTCAATCAAAATAGATCCTTCGCGTTCTTCAATTTTTCATCTTGATTTCGATGTTGATCCTATTTTTGTGTGTATTAGGGTTCTCTAGAAAATTTTCAAAATTTTTAATGACTTTTTTGTCCAGTAATTGAACTCGAAAAGCCACACGACAAATCAAGTAATACTTGTAGGGATCATTTGAATATGCATATGTGCTAGAAAAATCAAACCCTAGATGGTTAGAGGTATGACCTGAGCCTAGGAAGATCGGTTAAACATGAGATTAGTCTCACTAGTTATTAGCATAACTTAATTGTTCTAAGTGTAAGTGGCAAAAATAGAATAAGATAAGGGTTCTTAGTGTCAGTTTGCCTAAACTGTGACCTAGGATGGAATCCCTCTAGTAGTCCGAGCACATTAGAATCGTGAGAGAAACCAAACTCGAGGAGTCGAAAATGAGAGATCTAGAGATGTGAATCAATGTCTAGACTGCCAAACCACCCTCGAGACCTAGAAGGTCATCATGACAATTTTGGAGGACAAAGGTAGCCTCCTAGACCATTAGCAACCAATGTAGTGTTTGCTAAACTTCCACTCCCTTTCCACTACTGTACGATACTGTTGAGCTAGGCATGAGGCTGATTAGGGATATGAGACTTGATAGTTCAGTTGGACTACCTTACATGGTAGATCTGTCCTACGAGATGGCATGGATAATGTGTGTAGTCAATAGAGCTAGCACATACACGGAGTCGCTCCCCCAATCTTGGGTGACTACATGGTCTTATGGGAAGAGTACATCAACTAACTTTCCATGGATATCAAGCAGGCTAGCACATCATGCTATCCCCACCAAAGAGAGAGAGAGTTTTATGAGGTAGCGCCTTAATCTTGAACATCGGTTACGGTTGCGTAGGCTAAGCTAGCTACCCAAGCCTACAAAAAAACAAGAGCTATACTCCTAGACCTAGATTTAAGTCAATGGTCTTGAGCTACACTCGTGGACCTAGAGTAAAGTCAATGGTCTTTTGCTAAGTTAAGGATGCAATGAGATCTTACAAGTAAGTTGCTTATTCGGTACATTTACAGATTCATCCCTTTTTAACTTTTTTTAATATTTAATATATTAATTGTCACGGATCTAGATGTTCTAATTAATTCAAGGTCAATTTATATATATATTAATGAGGCCCTCCACTGCTTAGATCGAAATTTATAATAAATTAAATTAAAGAATTATTAGTAGACTTTAATTTTAATATACGATTAAATTAATCAAGAAAAATTAAAGGTTTTTTTCTAAATAATTTTGCCTTAAAAAATGATCATATTTTTAAAAATAATGAAAAGATTGACTTTGCTTAAAATTAAAGGTCAACTAAAAATGATAATAATTTCGATTTTTTTTATAATTTATTTTAAAATTCAATAGGATTTACTTTAAGTCAGTTCGATTCTGATTTTGATTAAATAATATTATTATTTCCAGAATTTTTTTTTTTATCAGATTCAATTTTTAATAACAATTATTTTTCTTAAACATTTATCAAATAATTTAAATAAATAAAATTACATGCAATTGAAATAATTATCTTAAAATATATTATAAATAACAACGATTTCTATTAGGATTTTCTATCAAATAATTTATATACCGCTAATTTCATTTATTGAAATTAATTATAATTCAAAATTCAACATTTTAAAGTTTTAAAAATAAATTAAAATAAAATTAGATTTTTTTTTTAAGATGCACATTGTATCAATTAAAATTTTAAATTAATAAGTATATTAATTAGAATCCTACGCGAATTAATTTACACTATTTATTTATAACTATTAATAATATATAAATTACCAATAAGAAATTGGTGAAGCAATTTTTTTTTTCAAAATTATTTACTGAGCAGTAAAATTATTCCACTTAATTTCATTTTAATTTTAAATTTCCTAAATAACATTAATAAAATTTATTATTTAATTATTTTTAATTAAGTAAAATAAAAGGAGAGAAAAATCTCTCGTATTAATAAAATTATTACTATACATTTAATTTTCAACCTTTTCTTTAATATTATGTTAATTTCTTTATTTAATTTTTGTTACAATGGGTTAGCTATGATTTTCAAATTGACTCATTTTTAAAAGTTTAGACTTTTACTAATAAGTATTAATCGATTCTCGAAATAATTTAAATACAAAAATTAATTAGGAGATCTATGTTTGTGAGTTGAGTTGGGTCGGTTGGGATATTATTTAGGCTCAACTCAATTGTTCGGATTATAAATTTTTCAATCTAAACAATTATTATTAAATACTGAATCGTCCAATTGAAAATGTTTGTTTAATCCACCGCATCTAAATGTGTGCGACTGTTCTCTATTTATAATCAAATAAATTATAAACTTATAATAAGAAACACAAATATCTAGATATTTATCTTATAATAAAATATTAAATATGGTAAACTATAATTTAGTATTAAATATTTTTTTGAATCCAACCCAAACATAATTTTTTTGGTGGGCTTCGATTAAGGTTATTTAAGTTGTTTATTAAAATATTTATTTTTAATAAAACAATATGTTTGTCTATAAAACATATATTTATTTATTGACAGACATTTAATTAATATTTATAACTCAATTTAAATATATATTTTGAATTAACCTAGGAAAATAATTATAAAATTAATATATATAAACAAAGATATATTTTTAAAAAAAATTAATAATAAATTTAGAATTTAATTTTAAAAAAATTAATGAACCAACGCAAATAAGATGCTATAAATAAGATGCTACCTATATTGAGTTTCAAATTAGAGGTCCATTTTTTTTCAATATATATATACATTTTTATTTAAAATAATAATAAAGCATTATAATATTTATTCATAATAATAATAATAAAAAAATCAATATTTATGCTAGACGAACCTAACTCAATACAACTTAAGCTCTCATGGCTTTGCTACAGGCTTTCCCAAAAAGGCTCGTACCAATAGAGAGAGTATTCTTTGATTATAAACCGATGATCATTTCTTCAATTAGTGGATGTGGGACTTTCATCATCCAATAATTTATAAATTTAATAATAGCATTTTTAATCTTTATTAATTTATTTTAACATTAAAAAAATTGGCTTAAATGCGAAAATTTAATTATCATGAAAGGAGTGACCTATCACGACCACGACATCAGTTGAGGAAGCCGTGTTAGTCAGGATAGTTTGATTCCAACATTTAAGTCATAGGGTTTATGTTATTGACAAGGGAATAGCATCTATTTCAAAAATTTTATATAACAAATGTTAAATTTTTTAGTTTTCAATTATGTTATGAGTTATTATTATGGTGGAAATGAATTTATAAACATTTAAATTAATTTTTTTTTACATAAATAATTACATGACAAATTATAAAATAATAATAATAATAATAATTAATTCTTGAATTTGTGTCATTTTTTTATGGAGAATATCGCATCTTATCGACCCATTAAAAAAAAAAAAAAAAAAAAAAAAAAAAAAAAAAAAAAAAAAAAAAAAAAAAAAAAAAAAAAAAAAAAAAAAAAAA